TATGACAGGTTTGTCCTACAGGAGAGCCAGGGGCAGCAGAGCACCCGTGAAAGAGACAACTGCTCTCCTGAAAGCAATAGAAATTTTAATATGATAGAAGAGGGAGCAGATACTGTAACAAAGGTGATATTCAGTGTCTGTTAGTGCATATAGCAACTTAATTGATGGGAATTTGTGTGCTGCTGTCTTGTGCATGCCACAGAATAGGTGCGATTAAGATAAAAAAAACAAACTAATTCCTTGATGCAGCCATCTGTGTTTCTTTCTAGTATAGCACATGTGATTCCTGTTAAAAGTATTAAAGTAATAGGCTAGTTGGGAACATTTTCAATCAAGCAAAACAAGCTGATGATTTGCAAACAGAAATTAAATTTGTAGGGGCTGCATCACCATGTGGAATTTTACTACAATTTTTAGATGAAAAGCCAGTTTTTCACATTTCATCGGACACTTACGGTTAACGCAGCCGGCTTCATCACTGTAATCAGGACAGTCATGAACTTTATTACACTGCTTGGTGCCGTGGATACAGGAACCATCGCCGCACTGGAACTCATCAGGCTGACATGTAAGCAATGCTGAGAGACACACATTTAAATTAGATGCATTGCTACACTATTTTTACAGTGAAAATCCAGTGCCATCTATTGATCTCATCTGTGAGAAGATACAAAGTTAGAGGCTCAAAAACACAGAAAACAGAGCATTTTCAAAAGTATACACATTCATATTCAGCCCATCAACTCCGTTCCTCTATTGTATTCCAATCCTACAGTAATCAATCACACACAACTCTTACCATCACCGAATAAAGCTCCAGCATAAATGAAAACCAAGCAGGTATTCATTCACTGTCTGAGGAAAACCCACATCCAGTGACCTACTGAGGATGTGTGTATGTGCGATTATGTATAGGCATTTGTTTGTTCTTGCTGTAACGGCAGAGGGCAGGTTTATTTAACTCATTTGTCTTTTTAACTGGCTGTTTAATTATTCATGTGTTGTGTTTTGGACTGGCTCTGCCAAGGGAATGAAGGCAGACATGATCAATGGCTGTGCAGGCCACAAAAAATGCATGACACACAGTCACTGTATCAGGAAAAACAGCATAAAATACAGCTGCACACAATGTTTCCAACCAAGCGAGCACGCCCACAAATTTACACATGAACTGTAAGCGAAGAGACGCATCAAATGACCAAAACTGAATGCATGTCTGCAGAAAGACGATCACATTTACACAAACACTCAGGCAAGCTGACTCAGACTTTTACTGCTTAAATAAAAAAATAAAATTCAGCAAAGTGTGGAAGACCTAATCCTGTGCCATCACAAAATGTGCTGAGTCTTTCAGCCAAATGATTGGGATCTAAGCTCAGTTAATTATGATAAATCCCCAGGACAAATAGTAATAATAATGGATTGCCATCTGCAGAAATGTTGGCAGGAGGGAATTGAGAGAACCGACGAGAGATACAATTTGACCATTCCTCATTTACATTAACCTCCTGTCACCGTTCTGACACTCACTTGTCTCAGCATGTCCAGGAAATAACAGAAGATTATAAAAATAAAAATGATTGAGTTTTCTTTCCATTTCTTTACAACACCCATGCAGCACTTCT